CCTGGTCCTTGGGTTGTGCGTCTCTCCGAGAGGCTGCCTTCGGCCGCGGGGATCTGGAGCCGGTGTGAAAGAACGAGTCTGTGGAAGCGGACCAGAATTTCTGGGGAGGGATCGCGGGAGGCTTGGCTGTGCTTGCGCCGAACGCCAGAGCAGTGCAAGGCAACTTCTCGAGCGAGCGGTCCGTGAGGCGCCCGAGTAAACTGCGCGCCTGGATCCTCCTCTCCTTTTCTCTTTCTCTCGTTCCCTCTGCAGGAACGAAGCCTGGCCCTGACCCGCCGCCAGGCGTTCTGCCCTTCTCCCGGAAGCGCCGAAGCAGAAGTAATGAAAGCTCTGCTGAGCTGAATCTCAAGGACGGCGAAACCTAAGCTGGGACCTATAATAGAAAAAGCTGTTAATGCCTCAAAACATAAGTGAAAAGTAAATTGTAGTTTTTCACCCCACCCAGTGGAGAATTTCATAGGACTCCTTGGAGCCACGGGTAATTTTCTGGAATCTTTGGAGGACCTGAGTTATCAGGTCAGGGAAGGCTTTTGAGCCTGTTTTCACTGTCAGGTCAACCTGTTGGCAAGCTTTGCCCCGCAAATGGATTGTGCCTGTTTAGTTTGAATTAATGTTTGTTATGCTGGGAAAAAAGATTAAAAATGGAAAAGAAAATGTTGTAACACCTTCAAGATGAACAAATGGATTACGGTAGACCCTTTTGGAAAGTGTAAACACTGCTGAGACTTGAAATGCATTGCATGAATGAACATTGCATGCAGCTGTAGATGTGTTTTAAATTTTGAATCATGCACAGTAATAATCAGCTTCCACAACTTGTTTGCTTGAGAGAATGCCTTAAAGCACACACATGTACACCACAAACTCTTACTGTATATATAAAAGAGATTTTTAGGTTGACACATCCTGGGTTTCAACACCCCAGTCAGGCAGCCTACTAATGTCTATCATCTTTCCCACTATGGTTATAAACCACACACATTAAATTCTTTCATTTTCAAACATACATTAGCAAATATTCTTGATATATGAGTATGTTAGATAATCAGTGGAGTAAGTATTCTTCTGTAGGGTGTGGAGATAATTTATTTGGATTTTTTCCTTTGCTTTTATATCTTGAATTGCAAGTATTGCTAATTTACACCCATATATTCTGAATTTAACTTGTCTGGCTTCCAGAGGCCAACCAAGTAGGACACACACACACATACACTCACACAAACGTACATATCAAGAGGGGAAGTTCACCTCTGCTCTGTCAACCCCAGAAGCCACTGGGGAACACAATCAGGTGAGCAAGCTGCTATTATGGGAAAGAGTGTCAACTCCCTGATACCACCTACCTACCTCCACCTTGCCATCCCCCAGCAGAGGAAAGGGAAGGGGGTCAGCTACAGCCTGGAGAAGCTAATCTACCTCACAGGGAAGGACCTCAGGTAAAGGATGCTCACCTCAAGTAGATGTGCCATCTTGGGAGGCCAAACAAATGCTCGGAACAGGAACAACAGTATCTACTGTAGTACCCACACAAGTTGAAGAGAGGAAGAAGTAGAGCAGGAAAAGAACCAGCCCATTATTTTTTCCCAGAAGCTAGAAGCCATTCAAGAAAAAGGAATATTGAACCTTTCCAGTCAAAGGGACTGATTCTAGGACTTCTCGGACATTTTCTGTTGATTTCCTCTTTGCAAGATATTTGTAAGGGTATTGCAAGCCTCTCTGTTGTACCTTCTGATTCTGAGGAAGGGAAGGTCTGCTTGCCAGAGGTGGAGAACATGCCTGCAAGGAAACTCTGTGTTTCTTCATTCATGCCTGACTGAAATCTAATTCCTGTTTATAGTTTTCTGGGACAATGAGAAATTACTGGGCATGCATTATGCATTAGATTTTGTGGGAATTACTCAGGAGGAATGAAAAGAAAGCCTGTGTGACAGGAAAGAATCTGAGATGAAGAAACACTTTCTTAATATTCCCCAACATGAAGAGATAGGAGGACAAGCTTTCCTCAGTACGCATATTCTTATATAATTTAGGAGGTGATGTTACCTCAGAGGTAAACAACCTATTTTGCAAGCAACGGTCCTACTTTGAAGCCTAAGTAGGGCTGATAAAAATATTTGGAAAATTGTTGCCAATAATTTTCAGCTTTTTTAAGATAAGGGATCTGCCTTATATACTTTGGAATCGATTTCTTAAAATTTTATTACATCTTGGTAGGCTGTGTCAGCTCATTGTAGATAAGACTGTGTAGCAAGCTAGGGAAAGGAAACCTTCAATGTGCAAAAATGTTGATTGCATAGAATGTGCTCTAATTGACTCCCTTGCTCTCTGCTGTGTGCTTAACAAGGAAGAGAGAATTTAAAATGTATTACCCAGTTTGAGCCACTCTAAGACTACAGTCACAAGATAAAATGGTAATAGTATTGATGAGATCTTATTCTTTGATCTGCAAGGGAGGACCTTGGGTTTACCTTACAAAAGGAACTGCTCAGATCTGGCATACCACAAATGTGGTCATGGGTGACTCCCAATGTCCGTACATTGGAGCAGGGCTTTATAGGTTGATCATACTAAGATTATATGACCTAAAACCATACTTCTCTCTTACAGTCACTATTTACAAGACACAATTACATATCTAACATATGCAGATTCTGAAATGGTCGTTCAATGTTTGTGCTCAAGTTATTAATAGTTTGTTCCAAATCACCATGGAATCCGCCATTCCCCCTCCCAGTGTTGGAATTTAGGTTAACTTCCAGGTGAACTTTTAATTCTACTTGACACAACCAAGATCATTAGCTGATTTTTGTGTGACAATATCTTCTGGAAATTCCCTCATACTGCAGACTGCAATCCACTACAGTCCTTATCAGTCATTTGAAGTCCAATGTCTAAATAATAATATGCTAGACAGACCAATGGTTGGACTCATTACAAAGCAGCTTCATATTCTTCTAGCTGCCAATGTGACTTTCTTGGTTAAAAAAGATTCTTGCTTTTGCACATAGTCGCTCTTCTGATGTTATGCTAGTTCTGCGGGCTGACAACTTGCTTGAGCAATAATTACAGGTTTAGTGAGTTATTTTAAATCAGTAATGGCTTTTAGAAACATTCCACAGTGACTAGGAAGCAGCAGCAGTCCCTTTGTGAATAACTGATCCACTTTCCATTATTTTGATTATTTAATAAAGAGGGAACTGAAGTGTCTTCCTTGTTTAGAAATGCAAATGTTCCTGATGGAGTTGTAGAAATTTCCATAAGATCACAGAGAGCTCTGTTGGATGAGGCCAACATTCCACTGAGAGCTACATTCTGTTTCTAACTGGCCCGTCAGATTCTTCTGGAGACCTACAAGAACATGAGGGTGATAATATCTACCAGCTGACAGTAGAAATTTCAAGTCTAATAAATTTTCCACATGGTATATTGTTAAATTATGGAATTCACATGCACAAGATATAATTACAGTTATTAATCAGGATGGCTTTAAAAGAAGATTAGAGGAGAAAGCAGCTACTAGAAGTGATGGTGGTAACTCACTTCCAGGGTGAGAGGAAATTTGCTTCTGAATGTTAGTTGCTGTAGAATGGGAATGGAATGGTGCTATTGCAGTTTTGTCTTGTTTGTGGGCTTCTCATAAGCATATTTTTGGCCACTGAATGATAGACAATGTAGAACTTTGGTCTGATCTAGCAGAATTGATCATATATGCTATATTTTAACACAATAATATATGGTTAACTCTGCTAGACTGGAGTTTTTCAAACTTCATTTATTTGATGATATGGTTGAATATCAAACTTTTTTTAAAGCCAGCAAACTAATGTAAAGCCAGCAGTAAAGGCATAATAGTTATTTACTTTTTTTTTTTTTTTTACCCACTGCAATAGAGGAACAATTGCAGGACAGTTCTACTCTTTCACACTAATTACCACAAAAATAAAAGCATTATACAACCTCGTCTGCTTTCCCAATATTCCCACATTTTCACTTGACTGGATATAACTTAATAATCATATCAATAAAGCTTCCCCAGGAAATGCAGCCCATAGCAGTGCACTACAACTACAGTGGGAGGGAGAAGGGACCTGAAGCTGAAGTTACTCTAAATGAATGGGAAGAGACTTAATGGTTAAATGTATAAGCCACCAGAGCCAAAAGGCAGTAGGTAGCATATAAATCTTTTAAATACACAAATAAAGCTATCAAAACCTGAATATCTCCTAATCTGTGACCATAAATTCCACAAGTTAAGTATGTGTTAGATGCAAAACAGATGCCTAGGGCTGGGAAAGACCTTTCTAGCCCTAGAGAGCTATTTGGTTAGATGGACTGATGGCCTGTCTGAAAATAAAGCAGCTTCATATGTTTGTTCCTGTGTACAGTATTTACTTTTGTCTGGGTATAACCCTACAGCAAAACAACTTCACTGGATGACAAAAGGATTAGTGTCACAAGAGAAGGGGGACGGTTTATCTATAACGTCTATAAGACCTGAATTAATTTTCCCTAAAATTGTTGCCTACAATGTGTTGGACATCTCCCATAATTCTCAGTCAGCTGTGCTTGAAGACCACTTGGAAGCTGCAGCTGGTCCAGAATGCAGCAGCAGAAGCAGTGGTGGGCAACCCTCATTATGCCCATATACTGTAGCGCCCCTGATCAATATGCATTACTAGTTACCAGTTGCCTTCCAGGTGCAATTCCATGTGTTGGTTGTCACTTTTAAAGGATGGATTTATTCCATGGA